AAAGAATATCATCCAAAATAATGGGCCCAATATCTTGTTTATCCAGCAGAGAAACTAGTAAACGATATGGTCGCACATCAGGTGGATTTTGACCAAGTCCCTGGCTCAATGTGATTTTGACTGCCTGTCACCACCATAAACATTTAAAATGTGTTACATTTTTTGTTGAAAAGGGGGCAAGCTTATATGATTTTCATCTTTGAAAAATATTCATATATTTACTACTTTGAAATCTTTTACACACCTGTATTAGCATATCTCTTGAATACATATCAAAATAGTTGCTATTGCTTGAAGGACGTTTGACAAGTGGATGCTCTGCACCAAGCAGGCTTGTATTAACTTCAGACCCCAGTAACCAAGCAAATAGGCGCCTACATAACACAGAAAAAACATTACTAAGAAAATAACATTTTAATACACACACAGGATTTTCTAAAACTAAGCCCTGGGAATAGCTATCTCTAAAATTAACATGTACATTTAAGATATATGAACAATTTGCATTATGTTATTCACTTAAAACATTAATCAACTACAATTTCAGTTTAAAATGACATCTCACTCTAAAAATTGTTATAATTTACATGTGAAAACATTCTTTGGTTAAAAACTTAAAGAACTCCATGAATTCGTAATATATTTACAATAGTTGTGAATTACAGTAAAACCCTCCTTTTACCTTCCTGCAATTTACGTTTACCCAGGGTTTACATCATTTCTTGTCGGACCCATCAGTTTTCATTTATTCCTTACGTTATAAATATTGGGCATTTACAAGAGTATAATTTAAACTTTCCCACAATATACAAGTCTGCTAGCCACACCGTTTGGAAAGCACTTTGTATTGCGATTGCAAAACGAGCACTGCCGTTGCACTTTCCCACCACCTTGCCATGTTAAAAATGGCCATTACATAAAGACTATTGAAATGGTGCGATATTATAAAAAGGTATGGAATGTTACATGAAGATTAGATTTAAATATAGTAAAGTATCATTATTGAGCAGCTAGGCCTATACAAATTTTCATTTTATAACATTACAGAGGTATTTAAAAAGGTAGAAAAAATTACTAACACGCATTGGAAGAAGAATATAAGAACTGAGCAGACGCCGAGCGAACACATTTGCTCAAAGCCGTGAGGTTCGGTACATGGTTGAAAAAGTATGAAACTTTTAAATGATAAGTTTAAAGGTAAGAAAAGAGGGAAAAACTGTACAAAATATATAAATTTACTAATTTTAAATTTTTTAAAATTTGTTTCAATATTACACATTAATATTGTGGATGACAGATACAATTCACTTCCATTAAAATGCACTTTAATAATGTTGATGAAGCTGTGGCTTGAATAATGAAGTATTTTATACTTGTTTTTGTTGAGAATGTTTATTTTATTATTTTAATTTAATGTGTTAACTCTCAGATATTTCTGCTCAATAACGATAGTTTTTACATAAATTAACATGTTTTGTTAAATGTTAATTTACATTTTGTGGAGAATTTGTGACCTATATGAAAGCTGAATAGACCTAACTGAATAGACTGAATAGACCTAAATGAAATATGGGTCATACGAGATATCTTAAGTTATTTCCGTTCTTGTAAGAACTAAAATTTAAAACCATTAAATTCAATAGAAGTAAGAAATTTTACATTTTTCAATTCACGAACCAGTTTTCAGAAATAGAATCCGATTTATTTGTCAGCTTTGTGTGTGTGATTTTTTAAAGCATGCAAAAGGAATTAGCCCCAAATTTCGTCGCTTATCTTCTATTCTGTTTACTGTGAAAAGTAAATTCGGTCGCTTGTTCGTTCTGCAAAAACACTTCAACACACAATAATCTCACTTGGAAGGGCTGCCCCAGCGAGCGAACATGGTCGACGGGCGCGAGTTCGCTCAGTGTAAACGGGTGGTACCATCCGCCCGGCGACCGTCCGCCGAACGAGCCTTCGTTCAGAATCGCTTGCTTGTTCGCTCGCTTGCGCAGTGTAAACGCACCTTTATACGAAAAGGCACACGAGCGCTCTTGGCGACGCTCGTCGTCTAGCGGGCGTCGCGCGTTGAAAGCCAAACTTGACTCGTCTTATGTGGTACCTTAAAAGTCTTACTTCAGTTCTGGGCACAACGCACGTCGCTACGAGCGCTGTTGGGCCGTATCGCATAAGATAGTGGTAATCTACGACGCACGTTCACGTGTGCACAATCGCGACCGACATCAGCATTAGGTGACGCGCGTCAACGCAACGCCCATGTGACACAGGCCTAAGAGAGGTAGCCTAACGATCGTTTTTTTATTTTATTGTTTTTTTCTTCTTTCGATTCTTGAATAGCTCAAACATCAAACTATGGAATTCTCTACGTTTTTAATCGTAAATTGGTTTCATGAACCCTCTTTCTATTATTTCATAAATAAATAAATTGAAAATATTACTATTTGGAAATCATTACGAACTATCGAAAACAAACAATTTAAAACTTTGGGGAAATGTTAACTTCGCATATCTTTCTTCCAGTAAAAATACCCTTTCTCACTTCATCCAACAATAGTGCTTTGTTGCATCATCAAAGGCTATGTTCAGAGAATGGCAGGGATTCATGGAAGTGTTATTGCGACATTTAAAATTCAATGTGCTTCAGTTAATATGCCATTAATTTCCAATATTTTTATTTCTTTGTCAATGATGTTATAAATAATAAAAACACAATAGGATATTCGGCAAATATTGTAATCACGAATTTAATTACAAACATTTTACACAATTTTAAAAACTTATGTCAGTTATATAAACCATTTCACTGGAACTGACTAACAATTGAGCCAAATGCTCGTGGATTTGATTGATTGATTGACTAGCGATTCTGGGCGCGCTAAGAGCATTTATTCCCGTAAGTGTAGTGTATGATTTTACTGCGGGGGGTGGCAGTAATATTCTCCCGCTGAACGGTGAGATCCGGCGCCCGCCTATCTGTAGGTTAGCGGGGTTTTCCCCAACCAGGTATCTTCCACCAGGAGGGCCTCGTGCCAACCGGGACAAGTTCTAAGCTTCCCACCGGACTCTCGCCGTGTGGTAGTGTAGTGTGTGTGAGTAATGAGTGGGCATGTAAGTGTGTGTGAGAAATGAGTGGGCGTGTAAGTGTGTGTGAGTAATGAGTGGGCATATAAGTGTGTGTAATGAGTGGGCATAAGACAAGGAAGAGGAAGGAAATAGCATGCATGGTACATGGTTTGGCAGTCGCATGGTGTTGATCACAGACACCTATCAATCAGAGCAGCAGGACGCTAGAATTCTCCTCCAGACAGCGACTGAATTCCACCTAGCTGACAAGTTGGAAACACAGGACGAAACTAGGACTTGTGGAAACTAGGACTTCCTGAACAGAGGTACTTCAGTGACATCCGTTGATGTCCTGAGCCACCTCTCCATGTGTGAGTTTGTGTGTGTGAGAAATATTTATGTGCATGAAGAACCGGCTCCCTACACCACATTAAGGGTACAAGTACAGAGAGAGACCTATAATTTCAGGCTACCTATGTTTGTATCCTATTTGCTACTTATCCAGGACCGAGGTGAGTACTTAGGGCTTCCTCAGCATAAAGTTCAGGAAGCACAAGAGGGCTCCTCACTGGGAAAAGTACCATGGGAGCGGTAGTACTATTAGTTACAAATGAAAATGAGAAACTAAACATTACAAATTTTCTGACAACCAATGATTTAATTCCTACCTCATAAAACTGGTTCCTACCAGGCAACACATCAAGCACAAACGGGATTATAATCAACCCATTGATATGATCTACTTATGTAGACTGAAAAAATTGTGTTCCAAAAAACGGTCACATGCAAAGTTGAACCACATTGGTAATTCAAAGGAATATTGGAAAAGAATTATCAGATCTGTATGTTCAGAGTGGGTTCTACAGGGATCAGTGATGGGACCTCTAATTTTTACAATTTACATGATTGACTTAAATAGATAGAAATTATTGCAAGGTTATCTCCTTTGCAGATAACTAGCAATTTTTTTTTGAAACCTATTCATGTAAACATGTGGATTGCCCTAGGCAACACCCTCTCCATTAGTAAAGTTGCTTTGGAGGATGAAATCACAGGTAGAAGGCTTGTAAGCATGCACCACTTCCTGACAAGGAACTTAGCAAAGTAACATTTGAAAATGGCCATATACCTCAAAATAGATGCCACCACATGGAAACTACACTGGTGCATTCCCTTAAAGAGTGTGATTTCCATATTCTACACATTCTATTATACATTCCTCCATCCTTCAAAGTGGATTTGCTTTTAACCTTCATTGGTTCACTTATTTATAACTTAAGGAATTACATCAATATGCTTTAATTTTAGTTTTAAGTCACATGTAGTCCTTTAATTGGGTTTATTTCCTGGACCTTATATTATTGAAGGAGACTAATTAATAAGAAGAACAGTATTTCTAAAACTCAAAGTACCCATGAGTTTTAGAAATACTATACATTGTAACAAGAGTGCAAAGGAATGCCAAAGAATTTGTCTGCATTGTAAATCCCTGTTAAATTTTATTTACTGGATCCATTTCAGATGACGTATTACTTTTTGAATCTTCTTCAAGAAATGTGCATTGAAGAAAAGCTTTCTCTTTGCTACTACAAATCCAAAACATTGCATGTCTTTCAAACCTTGAGTTAATAAAAAAAGAAAATCACCTGTTAAGTGACATGTCACGACGTAAGATAGTGACTAGGGCGGCAGTCACTAAACGTACCATATCACTTCGCACTAGTTGTGAATTATGCATAGGAAACCCTACTAACAACAGATCCAGGGCTGAACGCTGAACTAGAACACTACCATCTTGAACACCAGCACACAATGCAGAAACCTATAAAACCATGACAAAGAGCTTTCAGATTCATTTATACACATCTAACTTGAAAAACATTAACATCTAAAAGTATTTTAAAATAATTTATTTCACTATAAAAACTTGCCATGACATCAATATTGGTCCCCATAATATAGAGTTGGTCCTCCATAGACAACTTCTTGTTGAAATGAGACAGCACAAAAGATATAGCTGGTAATCTGATACCAGTGTTTGCAGCCAAGCAATCCCATAAACATCCATAAAAATGAGGAGGACCTACACCTTCACAGACTTTTTCTAGAAGTGAAGTGGTCCTGGAAGATCACAAAACAGAATTAATTACACCCGGGATAGACATTACAAAAAGGAGAGAGAGAGAGAGAGAGAGAGAGAGAGAGAAGAAGAAGAAGAGCAAGAGACACAGAAGAATAAGAAGAAAGAAAATCAACACATTTACCTCTCAAAGTGGTCCGATCCTTCCTCCAATCCTGGCAAAACACCACTCAGAAACCCACTGAGACCAGGTCGTAATCGTTCTCCCAGAGGAACAAAATGAGTCTCATATACAGTAAGAAGGGAAGGACGTACATTCATTGCAGCATGACCAAGCAGTGGAAACAACCCTATTACAAAAATAAGGGTCATCAAGTTTAGTTCCGACAGAATCCATGAGAAATACATTCTCCTTGCAATAGGGTGAAGACATATATATATGCAATAGACATTTCAGGCAAAGATGCAAGTCTAATTTTTATTATTTCCCAAAAAACATGCCGGTCTGTAAGCAACAGTAGCATCTAATTTATTTGTAAGACTTTTTCCCAAATGAATATTCCAGGTTGATCTGGTTCGTCTCGAAGCTCGGCGAGTTTGAAAAAAATTCTTTTATATTTGGAGTACTTTACATGAAGCCCCTGCGATAGTTTCAAAATTTTCTCAAACTAGGCTCCATATTTTTTCTTTATTTTTTTGTAAGAATAGAGTGAAATACACGTATAAAGATGACAGAGGTCTAATATTCACCAAATTTTCAAAAATTGCAAAAAACTGAATTTCATAGGTAAGATGCATCATCTTACCTATGAAATTTAAATAGAGATTTCTGTTTCAACAATTTATTATGGCCATGTACTTTTTTTTGAAAATTTTCCGCCTTTTCATAAATGCTCAAATGCCATTTTCTAAATAATGGCTCAAATGTTTTCTTCAAACTTTCTGTGCCGATAGTGATAATGAACTGAATAACATAAAATAAACACCACTTTGATGTACTTACTTTTTCTCCAAATTACTCATAAGTATTTTTTTTTAATATCTTTCACGCCATTAATATTTACTTTGCAAGCATTTTTTGTACATTTGTGTATAGTAGTGCTTAAAATTATTTCCAATGAAGTGTCTTGAAAACTTTGAGTGAAACTGAGCTTCAAAATGCACATTTTCAGATTCGCTCGAGTGACATTTTCTTAAAAATGGCTACAATTTTTTTTATCAAAATGTACATAGGGGATTAGATTTTACCCTTTTAGAATATTCTTAAAATCACATTTTGTTTCTACTTTTAAGGATCAGAATAAATGAGAAAACATTACAAAACACCTGGCAGAAAAAAAATTAAACACCTGACATTAAATAATAGATGACAGTGGAGAAGAGAGTAAGACCAAACCTAAAAAATAGCCTAGGCTAAGGACAAAAACGAAACTAACTATTTATTGTTGTTTAGAACTATTTTCATGTTGTTATCATGCAATGAAATTATACACAATTGTGACCCTTGGTGGATTGTTGGATTGGTGGTCTATCACTTTACCCACACTAAATTGAAAAAATGTGATCATTGAAACTTTCATTATTACAATCCCTTATTGGATGGGTGCATATATTTACCATATAATGACAACCATTACTTTGTAATGATAAAAGTCTCTTGTACTTTCATTAAGATCAATAAGATCCAGATTAAAAACCCCAAGATCAAGTGATTCTACTTCCCTGTATGCATATACATATTTGGAGTAACATACATAATGTAGAGAAAGTTATGTAAGGATGCAGAAAATAGATCTCAACGTAAATACATGTTTTGGGGTCCCCATACAGAAAAGGTTTTTCTTCCCCCACCTCTTCAAAATGTCCATCCATCTGTGAAAAACACTGGCACCTGAACTCTGAGTAGGTTGTTTTCCAATCTAAATAATTCCCAGTTGAACTGGCCCCACTTGAACCTCTGTAATTTTAAAAATCTTTGTTTCACTTCTAGGGGCTCTTTGTATGAAGTCCCTGGGATATTTTCATAATTTTCCAAAAATTGCTGCAAATTTTTTCTTTACATTTTGTGTAACAATAGAGTGAAGTACACTATTGTGAAAGACAGGTGCCACAGGTCTGATTTTCAGTTACCTTTGAATTTTTCAAAATTGGGAAAGTTTGAAATTTTTCAGTGACTCCTTACAAATACAAAATTTAAGATGAAGATTTTTCCTTCAAATGAATTTTGTTTTCTGTAGTTAAATTCTTTAATTAAGGTCATGTACATTTTTTGGAAAGTATTTGTAGCTTTTGGACAATATTGCGTGAAATATGAATATTAATCACAAGAATTTCTCAAAAATTACTCAACATTTCACCTTTAAATGTTGAGTCGGGTTAGTATTAAATGTACTGTAACAAATTATAAAAATGCCATCTGCTGTATTCTTTTGTTTTTAAAAAAATTGTAATTTCATTTTTGAGTTTCTCCAGCTGTTAATATTTACATTACTGGTTATTTGTTTACATTATAGCATTTATGTGCATGTTACATTATTGCATTTGCTTTCAAATAATATCTGATAAATTTTCTAGAAAATCCTTTCTGTGAAAACAAAGTCAAATTTCTTTACATTCTTTACATTTTACATTTTTTAGAAATCTATCTCACACTGTTAATATTTATATTTCTAGTGATTTGTACACATTATTGCACTTGTGAGTCTTATGTAATTAAAAACGTTTAATGGACATTTGAGGCCCAGGAATATAGTTGGCACCCCCCCCCAATCATGTTTCAGGTTGCCTAAACATGAGCATTTCATATTGTTTGAATGAAATTTCAAAAGAGAAGAGTTTTTGGATATCATAATTATAATACATATTACAGTAATTTCTGTCACCTTTTCCTACTTTACTAATACATTGTATAAACATTCATCATTCTCTTATTGCTTCTGCACAGAATGCAATACATTCTTAGTAATTTTGATATCCAAATATTAATTTACAAACATTAAATACAAATTTAATATTCATGTCTGAATAACTTTTTAATAAATAAAAGGGAAATATATTCTGAATAGGGTAATTTCATAGCTTTGTTTTCTTTTTTATGTTTTTTTACAAGAGACACAATGAATGTGAAAATATGTACAATTTAGATACATGCATTTGTATTTAACCAAAATAAATTATATATTTTAAAAGATCTCAAACCAAAATGTGAGTATAGTAATTACACAAAATTAAAACAGATGAAAATAATTTTTGAAAGTCTGGGCATTGTTATTTTTAATACAAGTGTAATTTACTTCAAAGACTAGGCACCGTATTTACTGTTGAGTTTATCAATTTATTGAAAATACAAAACCTGCTCTAAATGAAAACAATGTATGAAAACATTGTGTGAAAATAATTATTTATGAAGAAAATCATTTACTTATCCATTATTAAGGAAAATAAATTTTATTTCACAGTTCAAACACAAAGTACCAGCAAGCAGTATCAAGAGAAAGTGCAGCTACGCAGAATATTTTTTAGGAATATCTTACCAGCACTATATATAAATAATTCATGGCTCAAACGATTCGTGCCCATACATTTAAAAATAATATCATACGTCTCCAGAGCCTTCAGATGTACACCAGATGGCAATGCAGGATGCATACACTGTGCTAAACGTTTGCTGATTTTAATGCGACGAGGTATTACTGGAAATTTCATGTAGTTCAGGAGGACCTATGACAGTTATAATAAATATAAAAATTATTATATTTCAATGGCTTGATTTTATAATTCAAATCACAAATATAATCAAAATTGAAAAGGAGACAAACCAAATTTTCAACAACCTTGAACCTACAGAATAAAAACCATAAAATTATTCCTAAAAAAAATCTTGCATTTGTCAACAAACTCTAATTTTAGAACCTCGAAATAAATAAATAAATGAAATGATAAATAAAATAATTAAAAATTATTGGTAATATGTTTAAAAAAATTTGATCTATTAATACAAAATTATCATTTATGTCAGACATTTATTTTAAAACAAAACTGGAGAGATAATACAAATTAAAATGAAATAAAATTACTATCGATGATGCCACAGCAATACCACTTTATCTACAATTTTGGTAATTCAGATAGCTACTTGCAATTGTGTAGAAGTATGTTTGACATCAGTTTTTGTTATATTGTAGTTCTAATAATCATCCCATTGTACCATATTAATTTAATATTTAAAGAATATTAAATTATTTTTCCTTTATTGTTTGCTAGAAACAATTTTTATCTTTATTGCAAAGTGTAAGAATTTACAGATATGAGGAATTACCATGGCACCAGTGAATTACACTATATTAGATTCAATACTTCATGTAATAAAATAATACCAAAATATTTACCTTGTTCAGTTTTCCTAATGCAGATATAAGATCTGCCCATTCACTTGTGTATTCAAAATTCTTCAATGCTTTATCCACAGCAGACACATATCTGTTCAATTAAAAAAAAATTAAATGTTAAGAAAATGTCAATATTTTAAATTCAACTTGCAAGTGAAGTACTTTTTCCCCTTACACTCTATATTTTGAATCCTTCATCAACTCGTACTCCTCCATGGCAATTGAACCCATCTTGAAAAAATGTATTGAGAATGGCAACAAATTATATGGTAAAACCTGATCCTTTATTATTCATATCTCAGTGCCATGATGTGTTAATATAGACATTTACATGACCTCATACAGACATAACAGTAACCATAGTACAACCTCTTCAATCAAAAATGTTGTAGGTACAGAAACTATCTAGTTAACCTGCGTTTGAAAACAAATGTTGAAACAGCTGTTTTATGACCTTGAAGCAGGATATATTTGGTAACTAAAGTCTCGAAAGGAAACGCTACACAAAACGTCATTTCTGATCGGGTTATACTGTTCGACATTTAACATGTAGAAAACAAAACTATATGCTTCAGAGTTAACAAGGTATATTCTGTGAAATAAACTTGAGAAAAGTGCCCTGCAGGCCGTATATCGTCTTGTCCATACGAAAAACCATTAAAGTACTTCATAATAGATTCACGTTCACACGCACAACACCAGTACATAGCTCCACCAGAGTATTACACATTGCAGGTGGGTCGACGTCACATACGTCACATATTTCTCGTATATAATGCGTAACACAATACAATGCTCTATTTGATTAGTTGAGTTCTCTATTAGAAGAAAATTAATAAACAAACATTAAAAAAATAAAATACACATAATTTGGAGAAGATATCGAAGTATTACTAATCTAACATGAATTTAGAGTGAACGTCTTTCGCACGGCCGGGCCGAGCTACTGATTATTTTGACAATTCCGTGGTGTCACCTTTTCTTACGACGTAATTGCACCTGCAATCGGAAGGCGTATAAAATATTCGTTTGACTTTGTAAATATGTACCACGTTGTACAAGTATTTCCAAATCGTTTCGCAAAAATGGGTTTTTCAGACCCAAACCTTTTGAATACGCTCAAAAGTGCATTTTCCTTGACACGCAAATGCGCATGAACGCGAGAGACAGAAAATGCTCGAGTGAAATCGTCGAACAAGCTATCCAGATCCTTGTATCCTACACTACGAAGTTCCTTACAACTCTGTATACATCAGTTATAGTATTCCTTCCGTGCCGGAGGAGTAGGACAATTGGATTTGGGACGAGTTAGTCGGTTTGGATTTGACAATGTCCATATGATGAACTTGGTGCCCGAACGGGGTTGGCACTTCGAAACGGGATTCCGGGGTTGCCCTGTTGTCAGTGTCATTATTTTGAAAATTATTTTAATTTTTTACATTAAAATCTAATCGACATTGCAACTGATACGCTACACCTACTAGCAGAGTGGACTAGTGTAGTAACGATTAGCCCTGATAACGATATCAAGGTTAATTTTCGTTACCGTGTTGATGTTACTCAATCCGTGGATTGTCCCGCACTCGATTTAACTTTGGGTATCATTTCAATTACTATTATTCTATTATTTTCACCGTTCGATTTACATTTTTAAAGGTTTACCAATATTAACATGTTACATAGTTAATAGTCGACCGCGAAATTTAAACATTCTAATGTGGAGGTTCTGTGTATGAATTTCAATTAAAAACACGTTAAAAATATTAATAACTAAAAGAATGAATAAAGAATAAGAACTACAGTAGATGTTGAATCGAAGTGAATATATTTTTGTGTATAAAATGCCCTTCTAATTTTACATTTTACACAAGTGTTACAGCTAGCCATTAGGGAGACAAATTCTTTTCAAATTACATAATTCGAATCTGAAATATTCAAGTTATCTGTTTTTCTCCGCTATTTTATTATATACATGCCAGCAATACACAGGTTGTAACAGTGATTGGGTAGTCTTTAACATATGTTATTATATGTGTAAATTGCCCATGATCAAAATGTACATTTTTACGTTGCAGAAGCAAGACAAAAATTGTGCTGCTTTTTCTCGGCACTCTTATTTTCTACAATGAATTTCTTAGTTATTTTCTTCAAAGCATTTTCAAGTGGCCAGCTGTCTCATGCGATGGGCGACCTGAATGTGTCAAAATTTTATTGGTTGCTGACCCGCAGATAATTGGTGAACAATTTGAACCTGGATTTCCTCTAGGAACCCTTGCAAGATGGGACTGTGACAGGTATATTGTGAAAGCAGTGCATTGAAATCTAATTTTGTTTCAGTTGTTGAAATTCTGTAATTTTTTTTGTAGATATTTATCCAAAACATTTCACCATGTTGTGTCTCATGTAAACCCTGATGTAGTTGCATTTCTTGGTGATATTATGGATGAAGGAAGCATTGCATCCAAAGAGGAATATATTCGTTACAGCCGAAGATTTTTTAATATTTTTCAAACTAATGTGTTGATGCAGGTAATGATCTTGCTCTCTTTTAGTATTGATAGTGAAAAACATGACTAGTATGATTATTTGTAAATTTTTGCAGTATATTTATCTCCCTGGAGATAACGACATTGGGGGAGAAGATGACGATCGCTTAACAAATGACAAATTGAAACGCTATGATAAGACTTTCAGTCAAGCAGAAAGTTTCCGGATAAAAAGTGTTGATATATACAAGGTATATATCAAAACTCAAATAACTATAAATGATTATTTTCTGCAAAATTTCAAAAACTTGTTAAAACGAATACTGAAATGCCATCTTATTATTTAAATTTTGTTATAGGTGAATAGATTAACTTTCTCTATGCCTCGAAATTTGACTGCAACAGGAGGAAACAGAACTAATATTGTTTTAACTCACCTCCCATTGTTGTTTCTGCCAAACCAATTTGTGCACAAGGTAAACATGAATTATATAAAGGGTGTTAATTAACATTGTCAGTGACTTAAAGTGAATATATTATTTAAATTTTCAGGTTGTGAAGCAACTCCGTCCTCAAATAATTTTTTCTGCTCATGATCATAAATCACTTCACACTAGCATAGAAACTGATCTCAAACGGTATGAACAGTTTGTTGAAATGCTACTTCCCTCAGGAGGTCCAATGTGGCAATTTCAATTAAGTAAAACTGTGATTCATGAGATAATGGTACCTACTTGTTCTTACAGGATGGGTGTCGCTGATGTGGGCTACGGAGTTGCACTTATTGGTAAATTAATAATCCATTTATTTGTTTCAGTTTTCATAATAAATGTGGTATAATGTATGTTTTTTCTTATCTTAAAATACACAATTTCATGTAGTAAAGCAGAATTTTTCTTAATGACTTCTTCTCTTACCATTGATAATCTTTGGAATCAATTTCAATGGAGATCAGTTAATTTTGTGTTCCCATTAAGAAGACTTATTCAGTTAATGTCTGCTCTTGTGAGTCCCTCAATTACCTATTAGCCCACAAGAATTTTGTTATTGTTAACAATTGGTATGTTACATGTGAGAGACTCATTGTAGACTATTGGAACTTAAATGATTTTGTGGAAGGTTACCGATGAAGACATTCGTCTTGTGTGAGACTACCAATATACTCTCTGCTACCAATGGGCTTTGTTTACATAAACACTATGGGCCATTCCACAGTCATATAAACCATGTGGTGGGACTGTATCAAATCAGATTGTTTTGTAATTCATGAAGTTGCATTGAGTGAGGCAATAAGAGTTGTTTCAAAAGCAATTCAATTGTGAAATAAGTTGATAATAAGGGATAAACTGTTAAAATTGATTGTTAAAAATGGATATTTTCCTTTTGTGCAAAAATTTTGAAATGATTTTAATTTCTTTGTATTCAAACATAATTTTCATTTTTAGTTGCTTACTGTGTGGCTTGCCCAGACAATTTTCATGTGAATTATTATTGAATGCAAATTTCATTTGATTTTTTATTGAATTGAAATTGTTAATAAACTTTCGATTGGTTTTGGGTCCTTGTGAGTCCAAGGACATGATATCACATTCCATACATTTTCTTTTACAATTATTTAAAATTTATTCCTTATTATACACATGCAGAGAAACAGCAAACTGGCAGCCACTGCAAAGTTCTTGTAATACATGACAAATAATTGAGAAATGTTAAAATATATTATGAGAATGCAATTTCATTAAATAATTAATTCCTAATTGTTTAATGAATTATTGTGTGTAAAGAAATTATTTCAACCTATTATCTTCAGAGGAAATGTTTATGCAATTGATACTTTTGTTTATAATGACTAATGAGGTAATTAATTGTTCTGTTTTTGTTTGTAGATAACTCTGGTAGCATGACTTACACAGTTCTTTGGTTACCTTCACGCTTCTCTCAACTGGGTGCATATGTTGGAATGTTCCTTGTTTTCATTTTTTATTGGTCATCGTATACATTCTGCTGCATCTGTTCCCATATTAGAAGGAAAATGGCAGTTTCTAAACATATTGTTTAGCACAACTTTTGCGCTTTATTGAGATTAAGGAAACAATTTAAACGATTACCAAAAACATATTTTCTAATCACTTGACTAGTGCAGATAAATTTGGTTCAGTACTTAAAAGAAAGAATTGCTTGGAATTGTTACACTCTACAGAAGTTTGAATAAAAGCGGTGGTTATTGTGCCTGTATACCTGCATTAATGAGACAAAATTACTGGGAATTCACTCTAAGCTTGTGATTTTGTTGTCATAAGAATTTCATCCACGTGTTCTAAATGTACACTGTGGTCGTGAAAATAACAGTAAATTACAGGACAATGTATTCTAGTTGCTTGTCCAAGGATACCTTATTACTTCATTCATACGTTCCGTGAAAGAATAAGACCCTCCACAGAATTTTAATTTATTTTGTTTCATTAATACAGGTGCAATATCAATTACCTCTTAACTAATTATTTTTCTTAGGGTTCAAATGTATTTTTTAAATTATATTTAATGTGTTTGCTGCAATAGACTATGCGCTTCACAACTTTTTATACACAAAAGTTTGTTGTGTAATTTTGTAAATTGTGATGAAGAGTTTTGACATGTAACTTGTTGACATTTGTTATAAAATGTAGAAATTTTTTAAGAATAAATAAAAGTATCTTCATTAGTTATTATGAAAATTCAATTGCCTATGATATTAAACTTTTGGGAAATGAGGGTAATCCAAATTCTATGAGGGATGATAATTACTTCAAATAAGATGACTTTTGAAAATGTCATTCTAGATTCAAAAGTGAAAATTATGGAATTTTATATTTCAAATGACCATTTAAAAGTGGATAAATCAGTATCCCATTTGCCAGTAATTTGGAATTTTTGGCAGCAGAATTGAATATCTAAATAGATGGCATTGATTTATAGGGTACAGTAATTCAAAGGCATGAAGGAAAATCTTGCCCTGGAACTAATGGTATTCCATCAACAAATTGGAAAATCGCTGATATTATTCTACTCAAATTCTTAATTTTGACTTTCTCGCAATTACTAACGTAAGAAGAGAAATTGTCATCGTGCTCCATAAAACGGCGAATTTTCGACACAAAAATTCTTATTGCCGAGTCCTGGTTAGGAAAAATTGGATAAAAGCACTTTTAATATAGAAAATACTTGCTAAATATAGGGGGGGGATCCTCTAACACGTAGTGTACCCAGAATCAATGTTTTGTGAGCCCTCGATGGCGAAAAATCGATTGACGGCAAAACGTGTGTCCGTCCGTCTGTGCACAACGCTAGCGCATTAACCGTGCAGCCGATTTGCTCCAAACTTGATATTTCCCAAACGTTATAGCTAAGGACTCTGAAATTTGAAACCAATATTTTAATTTTAGGGGGTGCTTTACTGACGCCCCTGAGCCATTTTCTTGAAAATGTCCCCAAATTTTTTGATTACACTTTGTTGAATAGTCCAAAGGACGTTTAAGAGAATAGTGCAGATCTCATTTTTGTTAACATCCTCAATTTTTCAAAAATTGGAAAAAAAAATTAACTTCAAAATTGGAGATAAAGATTTATGTCTCAATTTTAACTTCAAAATTGGAGATAAAGATTTTTGTCTCTAACAAAAACTATTGTACAAAATAAGCTCTTCGAAAAGGGTAATGTACATTTTTTTTAACTAGTACGTTTTGCGTATTTTGCGATTGAATTTTACAAAAAAAATCTCAAAAACCGCTCCAAATTTTTTCTTAAACTTTTCTTCACTTATGTAATAAGAGGCTTTAAAAAATAGTGCTAGTCATATTTTCGAATATTGCTCGGTTTTTTGAAAATTAAAAAAAATTAAAACTACAAAATAGAAGATAAATATTTGCATCAGACAGTCTGTTGTACAAAATTAGCTCTTTAAAAAAGGTCATGTACTCTTTTTTGCGAAAACGAGTAGTTTTTGCGTAATTTGCAATTGATATGTATGAAAAGAAAATTTCTCAAAAACCGCTCTAAATTTTTTTATAAATTTTCTCCACATATGTAATAAGGGACGCTAAAATATTGTGCTAGTCCCATTTTGGGGTGTTGCTCTATTTTTCGAAAATAGCAACAAAAAACTTGAAAACTACACAATTTTAGAGAAAGATTTTTACTTCAGACAGTCTGTTGTACAAAATGATATCCTTAAAAAAGGTCATGTGCAAGTTTTTGAAAAGGTTAGCCGTTTTAGCGAAATTTTTGTTTCAAATTAATAATACATATCGGCGTACCGTCCTATGTAACGATAACATTGTAATATTGCGAAAACGTATGTGCTGTTGTAGCACTACTAGTTCATACACAAAATCTATGGGCGAAAGGTCCTTGCATACAACCTGGGAAGCTAGCTTTATAACAGCTGTTTTTAAATCAGGAGATCATGATAGAATGTTTTTTAGCGAAACAAGTTAAATGTTGACCGCGTGATGAAACTCATAAAGTGATACTCATTTCATTATGATGGCCTAATTGATACAAAAATTACTACATAATTGTAATATTCATATCCTGTTTAGATGGGTCAGCCCACGTATTACTGGCAGGGATGAAAAGAAGGTGCTTATGTGTTATTTTCTCGCTCTCCATGACATGTGTGACTGCTACTTTTATATCTTTTCTCCTTCACTAGCCTGGGTGAGCTGAGCGTGCGCCCATCCGCCGGGAGAAGAATCGGGTCGCATAATATGTGTGGCTGAGGTGACTCAGGGCATCAACGGGTGTCACTGCAGCGACTCGGACCGGGGGTTGCTAGGGTTGGAGTCTCAACGGTAGCAGGATATTCCACTATGGACAGGGGCGGCTCAATGGGAACGGCGCATGCAAAAATAGAAAATGAATTGAGCTATGTACATTGCCGGTGTAGGTATGTCGCACTTCTTGAAGAGTTAAGCTTCTAAATTTCGCAGTTTTTAAATATTGAACAGAATTACCATTCGTATCCATTCCAAACATGAACTAGTGGTGCTAAAACGGTGTGTACTTTCTCGCCCGTACTTTCACGCAAAATTCCGCGAAAAGTACTCAAATTTTCGAAAAATTGTACATGACCTTATTTTAAAATCCATATTTAAAAACAGATTTCACAGTAAGGAAAAAATCTGTAGCAACAAAATTTATTATATAATTGTGACGAACGCCAGTGACAACGTTCGTCCCACACGCCCACAGTTGAGAACGCCGGTGGTAGACCGTTTGAGCGAGCGCGACGCATGTTTGAAAAGGACGCGCCCGCAGCCTACAGAACTGTTGCGCGCTATGTTCGCGGCACGGTGCGTGAAGAGGGACTGGAGAGGGGAAGAGGCCGCGCACTGCCACTGCACGTAGGGCGCGTGCATAAATGGGCGAACCCACGGTCATTCTCTTCACCAAGCCAGCAGCACTCGCATGAGTTCTTGACCGCCGCAACATCTTCGCCGGATTACTTGGTAGGAGTGATGGACGTCGGACAGACGCCCAGATTGTCGTTCGCGAAGTTTTCTAAAAGAAAATATGTCTTCAGACAAAGATGCGGGGAGTGAATCTACCCGTTACTGTGGAGCTGAGGCCAAATACAATAGGGAAGTTCGTGCTGAGGTCGAGTAAAGTTCAACCAGCGCAGAAATTTGGGACAGTGCGAGCGAGAGACACGTACGCACGAGTTCGCCAGTGCGGTGCTAGGAACATTCGCACGCCGGCGTAAATAGAAACACCGAGGGGGACGAAGCAGACGAGGACGGAAGGCGCCGGGAGCACGAGACCGGAAGACGACGCGAGAGGGCAGCCAGCAGTCACTTGCGGCCAGGGGCCCACTAGCGGCAGCGCGGAGGCCGGCGGCGAACTCCGTCGACGCAGAGGCCGGAGCGCGTCAAGCTCAAGCATTGGAGCTCGAAGAACACTGCGGCGGGAGGTAACGGTGCGCAAGCGCCGCAAAAATTAGGTCAAAATCACAGCGATCAGGGAGAACTTACTAGCCAGGAAATTGTGCGGGAAATAACCACACGGGAGGCACCTGAGTATCTTTCAGTGATTCTTGCCATTTTAAAGCATTATTGCCTACTAAATCTGTAAAAAGATCATTATTCATTTTATGTTGTTCGCGGCCACAGCGACACTGTTGTAGAGACAGTGGTGTATTTGCACAATTTTGTAAGTAACGTTATTTGAAGGGAATGCTAAAATGTATATTTTGTCAGTGTTTAATGTAAATAGGAATTGTAATAAATTTAATTATTCAGAGTAACAAAGGGAATTCCCAGTGATTATTAGGGTGATTAGTTAAACGAGTAATTTGTACTTCATTGAAAAAGGGTCTCAGTTTTATTGTGTTTTATTGTTATTTGTGGTATGTCCAAAAAAACGTAATTTCTTAAAAAATAGATTTATTCTGATCTCACACCAGTACAGAGTAACCATATATAAGCCAGATCCAACAGTTTTCCTGAAGATGTGCCAGTGTGTGCCTTAGTCGCCGTTGCCCAGGGAGATGTCCAAAGTTAGTAGCTGTAGCACCGAAGTATCCGTCCGAGAGAGAAAGCGAGTCCGTACACTGTGCTGTTCCGTCAACACTGTTCACAATCCACTGATGCACTCGATACTGCTGGTAGGCGCTCCACTGCCCTCCAAGGAGCAAATTTGTGCAGTTTTGTGAACGCACTTAAAGTGCAATGCGCGTTCACGTCACCGCGGTGGGACCATTCCTACCCTTACGGGCATCTATGGCCTATCCTGTAACATAAGAGAAAAAAACAACGGTCAAAAAGACATTAGCCTACCGGCGCGCGCATTGCGTGTTTTGTAATACTATGTTTATGCCCCAATCCCACTTCTCTGTTTCAGATTGCTCTTACTCCAGAAAGTGTTTCGGTCGCCTATACTTCGCCCTTAGAGCGGGCTCGTATGAGGCGATCGCGGAAATGAGTTCATTCACTGCCCTCTGCCCGCCGGGGCGCTGCTTTATACACCGCTGGGGCTGAGGGTCCGCTGGCCAGCCTCCGGATAGGGGTGGTGCCTCCTTTTTCGGTGCCCGGTCGCGCGTGACGGCGACGCGGCGGCGGCGGTCGTCACCCTCTATTGAGCGGCGACGCTACTAGGTTCGGGCGGTTCTTTCAATGGTGCACAGGCGATTACTGCAATTTGGTGTAATATTTGTAAGCGACGAATAGGGTTTTAAGATTATTAAACCCAGTTTAACTGATTTATGTGTTCTTGTTGTTCGATTGGCTTTCAACACCACCAAAAGATCCCAATGTCTTGAGATAATACAAGCTCTCAATAGAACGATATCTGCGAGGTTCCCAATAGGCGATTTTGTTAGGGCAGGATCTTTGGGGTATGAGAAAGATTTACTCCAAGACACGGAATCAGTGCGTATATTCTTTCAATATCCGGAGGTCGCGCAGATCGCGTTGTTTCACACGCTAATTATTTGGCACGCCTGTGTTACGGGAACCCGTCTTGGCTTCGACGAAGCAGCGTAGGTGTTGTGGGGTTCTGAGCTCGTCTCAAACGTCAATTATATACTTACATATCTATGCGCGCGCCGCCATCCAAGGATTCCTCGACTTTCTCCCGCTTCCGAAATACATCCTCAACGATCTTTTGTGTGGCAATAGGAGATTGACTCCCGGAACACTCGTATTAAGATACTCGGGGGCAGCTCACTAGCTAATCCCTGAAGGGGCAATAAACCATGAAGCTTCGTAGAAGGGTCG